TGATCCTCTCTTGGCACCCAATCTTTCCTTAGCACAATTGGCAAAAGCATAAGTTTGGGGGAGAGACGAGGAATGTGAAAGTAATAAAAGTTAGAAAATAAAGAAAAGGGAAGGAAAAAGAAAAGAAAGAAAAACCAAAAAGTCAAAAAAGAAAGTGAATAGTATAGAAAAATGAAGAGATTCAATGAAAGCACTGATGAAAGGCTTGGAATGATTAGAAAAGGAGACAAATGATTGTCAAGAACAAGAAAGAGTGACAGTGTGTCTCTCTAGTATCCTAAGGAAGAAGAAAATGACCCAAATAGTCAAGAAAGTGTGAGCTTAAATGAGAAAATGAAGTGTTTAAGGAAAGATGAAACCTTCATAGACCGATATATCCTACCCTGAACCAAAAACCTTTATTACATTCCCATAAAAGCCTTATATGATTTCGAGTTAAGTGAGCTTACATTAGTGGTGATTTACATAAGGGGCAAGCTTATGGTACTTAGAGCCGGACTTGTGATCTTCCCTTGAGAGAAATGAGAGTACTTTTCTAAAATCCTTGTTTTGAGTGCTACAATCTAAAGTGATATTTGCTTATGAAGAGTAGAGGAGGAAGAGTTTGGGTTCCACAATGACCTACGTAGTAGAGCGATCTTCCTTGGTGAGTTAAGTCAACTCTTGATGCTCTTGTGCCGCATTAGAACTATGGTACTCAAAAGGCAGTGTGTTATTGATAATGCATTTGTGTTGAGGGTAATTGATAGTCCCAATTGATGCTTGATGAAGTCACCTCAGGAAAGCTGAAATTTCCATTTTTTTTCTTGTGGTTGTGGGAATTACTTTGTTTGCTTGAGGAAAAGCAAAAACTTAAGTTTGGGGGAGTTGATAACTATGGATTTTAACCTATATGTGCTATATTTTGCTTAGGTTTTGGTTTGAGAATGCATAAAGGTATTCCCGAAAACTGACTTAATGTGCTTGCTTGCAGGGTTTGGTCAAAATGAGGCAAAGAAGCCATAATAAACTCATGAAGGAGTTAAACTTGCACAAATCCAAAGTTGGGACTAGAGCGTTGACAGCGGTAGAAAAGAGCGGCCGCGTAAGGACCACCGCTAAGGCGGACACAAATACGTGATCCACAAAAGTGAGATTCAGAAAAGCTATTTTGGGCACTAGATTGACCACTGACCGCGATGGAAGAGTGCAGCCGCAAAATATCTGCCCCGGTCACGATGGTATTTTCGCTGAGAGCGTACTCCGAGGTTCAGAGACCCTACAAGTTAAGCTTGACTAAAGAACGAGGCCCGTGTCCAAATTACACGGGCATTGTCTAAGCTAACGAGGACACAGTGGATGTTATGCTGTTTGCAAAACAGGTCCCAGTCTAGATTCAAATATAGAGAACACGGACCACGATCATTATTACGTATCCACGATAGATCAAGCGCGGACGCGGTCAGAATTACGCATCCTCGAACCTTCTTAGGGGCATTTTTGTCCTGGAATTTCAACCTAATATAAATAGATCTTTTTTTACATTTTTAGGTTATGTTATATTTTGTTGAACACGTGAGACGGATAGTTTTACCTATTTGGGCAATTTGGTACAAGATTTACCTTATAACTTTAGATTTTCATCTTTTAATATAGCATTATGAATTTTATCTTCTTTTTATCTTTGATTTTTGCTAGTTTTATGAGTAGCTAAACCCATATTGTCACAACCCTATTGTGGATATTTAATGGGTCTTCAATATTAAAGCTTAATTGTTTATGGGTTAGTGATATTTAGCCTAATTCATGCTTTAATTGTAGAATTGGTGGTCGCAAACACTGATTCACGCCTTTATTACTTAGACTCTTCTTGAGAAAGAGGGACTAAGTCTAGGAAAATTAGGCTAACAAGGAATTGGGGTGCATTCAAGAGATTGATAGCCCCAATTAAAGGGTTAAACCTAGAGATAGTAATACCCGACTTGAGCCAATATCATTTGTTATGCATAAACACTCATTTGGACTTGAGAAAGCCAAATTGGAAAAAGTCACTCAAACTACCGAGAGGTATAGAGTGAGCACTTATGTGTGATGGTTATATCACGACCCCAATCATAACAAGATTGCCCTAAATTCTCGATACTCGTTAGATATTTGCCTAGGCAGAAGTCATTACCCTAGTCCCTTTTAATCCTTGAAAACACCCAACAAAAATATTGTACTTAGCTTTAACTACTGCATGCTATAGAATAGAAGTAGAAGTAGAAAACAAAACCAACCATTTGTGGAAGTACAATTAAGAGCAAAACTCGCATCTCTACTCGGATATAAACCTAACTCCAAACTCATTAACTCCCTATGGATTCGATCCCGACCTTTGTTGGGTAAAATTGCATCGACCATCCTTGCTGCTCTATAGTGGTGCAGGTTTGGAACCGATCAATGTACACTATGTTTTCTGGCTGCGTGCAGGATGGTTTTAGTCCAAATGTACAAAGAAGACTTTGGCTGAATTTTTGCAAGTCTTTAAGAGTTAATATTCGAGGATGAATGTTCCCAAGGGGGGAAGTATGTTACACCCCAAATATTCATGATGGAATGCATCTTAAGCGAATCAATATAAGTAGAAGAGTTTAAGGACATTTACCAAGACAATGATGAGTGAAAACAGGTGTTAAAGAAGTATCGTGAGCATTGGAGACTGATATAAGCATAAGTCAACATTCAAGGACGAATGTTCTAAAGGGGGAAATAATGTTACACCCCATGTTTTAGTACTTAAAAGTACGTCATACGTAAACTGATGTATGCTACGAATGAGATCATCTTTGAAAGTATATAAAGTAAGTTAATCATTTACCTTGGAGGTTACAAATATTTAAGATCATGAACAACAAGTACCAAGAGGGTTGTAAGGTTTAGAATCTAAACAAATTGAAGAAAATAAATTTCGCCGAAAGTCGACAAGTTGGGAATGTTATAACTCGTACCTTTAGGATGAGACTAGGGTGCTTAACATGATAAGAAGTTTATATTATGATTTATTTTAGTTGTATGATAGTCGTATGTAAAGTTTTTAAGTCAAGCGAGTTATGGAACAAAAGTCGATGAAAGCCATCACAAATTACGTTCATAAGTGTTACTGAAATTTGGGTCTAATGCCACTGAGCTTTTCTCCCAATATACTTGGTGTTACGGGGTGATCCAACCACCAAACTGAAGGTCTACAAGCTTAGTTTTGAATACATTAAACCATTTATCGATAGAACATTGGAGTAGAGAGATATTTACATTTTTGCAAGACCGTGCAGATTACAAAGGTGACAAGTAGGTGTGTCACCTACTTGCTTAAATGAATGGACCAAATAAGTCCACAAAAAGGGGTTAGTTGGGGTTGTCCAAAGGGGAATTTTAAGGGTTTGTTTACTTTATATATTTCATTCATTATAGAGCCAAAATCAGAGATAAATCCCAGCAAACCTCTCCCAAAAATTCAACACAAAATCCTAAATGATTTTCAGTTTTAATTGGAGGAAAATCTATGAGTTAAAGAACAAAGTTAGGAGTTTAGATCATCACCAAATAAGGTAAGTATATTGCCCTCTTTCATCATTTTTAGTGGAAAGACAGAGAAATTCATTCCATAATAGTAAGAACTTACGGGATGGTGATCGGAAGCCGTGAGTTTGAGTTGTTCAACTTGTAATGGACTGTTTTGTGGGTTGATTCGTGTTGTTGTTGGGTTGTCTATTTTGCTATTAGTTTTATGGATTTTCGAAGGAGAAGGGTTTGGATAAACACCACATAATAATATAGTGGTGGGATGGTCGTTCGTCATAACATTTTCTGATTGTTTGACACTACTATGGTTGTCCTTTTGTGTATGCAGTGATTGGGGTATGTTGGGTTGTTTGTGGTATTTTGTGATGGATATAAGGTTTGAAAATGATGTATATATGTTGTTATTGTTGTTTTCTTGTGTTGTTGGTATTATCTCGAATTGGGAGGAAGTAAAGATTATATGGGAGATGTTGTCCGTTTTAATATAAAATAAGTTTGTCGTTCATTGTGCGATAGTTGTACTTTTCAAAGCTTAGTATTATTATCGTTGTTGTAGATTAAGTTGTGATGAGACGAGTTCAATGTGGCTATTGGACAGATTGAGACAAGGTATGTTAAGGCTAGACCTTTTCTTTGTTTTGGCATGATCATATAACTACATGCATTTGATAACGAACCATAAAGAGAAGTTTATATTCCTGAATTTATGTATATTATCCTAGTCTCATAAGCTACAACGTTCTCCCTTATCAGGACTTTATATTCAGTCAAGTATTATCTTCTTTCAGTCAAGTGAGAAGAAAGTATATATATATATATATATACACACCGTATTACAGTATTTTCACTACCACCGAGCTATAATCGGTAGGTAGGCCCCTATCACTACTAGAAATTAAGCCTACGGCAACCCTTTCAAAACCGTACCTATAGATACTGAAACCGTCCCTATAGGGATAATGGGACGGTTTGGGACGTGTTCCCAGACTCAGCGTTACAATAGATCAACTAGAACGGTTATCTATAACGGTTTTCAAACCGTCTCCATATATGACTATTGCAACGGTTATAACTCAACCAATGACCACTCTATGGGAACGGTTTTCTGCTGTGTTGGAACGGTTATAAACCGTTGTATTATAATTGTGCTAACGAATTTTTAAATCTATTGCGACGGTTTTCATGATATATTGTAACGGTTTTGTTATATATTGGAACAATTGTTTGTATCCTATTGCAACAGATATTGCAACATATTGCAACGGTTATTATAGGGATGCTATTGTTCTTTACTAGGTCTATTGGAACGGTTATATTGTCCGTTGCAACAATTCACTATTGTAATTTGTAATATTTATGGAAGCAAAATGAGGCATATTTTCTAATTTTCCTATGCAATGAAATTTTACACATCATAACTTGTAGAAACCACAAAGTAAGATTAAAATATCTAACTCGCATTATCCATATCCAAAAACAAAATATGAATACATTGTTTGATCAACAATTCAAAAGTCAAAATAGATGAGTTTTAATTTGCATACAAAAAGTTCTAAACCAAAATATCCTTGATGATAGAAAGTCTAATAACGATCAACAAAACTCAAGTAAGGTCTTCATCACTGCTTTCATCCGCAATCGATGCACCTACAAAATTCAAGCACAAATAGTTAAACAAAGAAAGTTTTAAGAAAATTGAATAATAAAGTGTTGCTAATTAACTGCTCTTCTCACACATGGAATGCAAAAAGGCATGGGACGGAAAAGTAACATTAGAGTGTTGAATGACCAATTTGATAACTCAAAAAATTTCTAACTCTCTAAATTTTTAAAATTTTCGGCAAAATTTCCTTTGTAAATACGACTATCTTAAAAAATTTAACCTGCTCAAAACAATATTATGCTATACACTAGAGTAATTTTCAACTCTCCCATCTGTTACAATAATATTTAATTTCTTTAACAACATACAACAAACCAGAATCATCAACAGAAAACCATATCAAACAACTCTCCAGTCTATAATTTTTTAAGCAACAATCTGCCGTAATATCTTCGAACATTATTACATCACAACTAAATTATTCAACCTGTTCAAGTAACAGTCACTCCAATCGCAACCTCATTTAAATAATTAAGTACAGCACATGAAGTACCAACCTAAGACAGTAGATCTCACAAAAATTATTAAATTGTCACTGAGTTAATACCTGGAATGAGTTGGCCTTCTTTGTTGGTAGAAGTAGAGGGACGATGGATTGGTTGCAATGCTGTTTGCTGAGCAGATGAAGCTTCTCCTAATGAATTATCACCCAATGCCGCAAGAATAATGTTAGCATCAATATTAATTCCTGAACGCTGAAGACGTGCAAGGACATCTGCAACAACTTCTTGACGGATAGTTGCCTTTTGTTCCTCAATTTTTTCCTCCATTCTTTGTATCTTCTCCTCCAATTTTTGTATAGAATTTGAAGTATTTGAAGATGGTTCAAAATATCCTACTTTCCCTCTCAAAGAAGTTCTTGTAACCCCTCGTCCATACAATCTCAGACGTCCCGAATGTTCAGGTCCCATGACAGATGCAAATGCCTCTACGGACTCATTGCCATTTTCGTTTTGTTGTGCTTCAACTTCCTCCATTTCAGCCTACAAAGAAAATTCAAAAAAATATAATTCAAGTAAATAAAAAGTAAACAAATAGAAACAAATAATTGATCTCAATATAACATTAATTAAATATAATCGCACAATTTTACTAGTTGTATCTTCATCCGAGGACTTGTATGATCGCCCAACTTTTCTTTTTCTTGTAGCAACAAAGACTTCCTTTGGTGATAAAGGATCCGAAGTTTCCTTGTCTTTTTCCTAGTTACATGAAAGTGAGTTAGCATTCCTAATGGTCTGCCATGAACTAAACAAAAGCTAAAATTGAAATATTTTTGCCACGATTGGCTAGTTACACACCAACTTAGAGCGAACTAAAGCAAAACTTCTTTTTCCAGCAGTGTGAGGATTCTTCAACTTTTTCCGATTCTCAATGTTAGTTTTAGACATTCTCTGCAAACAGAAAGAAACATCAAACAACAACTTACAAGTAGGACTTGAGAAGTACAAAGTGAAATGCACTGTGGTGGACTATAAGAAATCAGCAATAGATCTTACTGTTAAATGAGCTGAAGCAAATCAAGGTAAAGATTTCTGTTCATTATATATTCATACATCAAATAACACAGTACTCCTTAACAAAGATTTATGTTCAAAAACCATTAAAGGAAATTAAATTGTGGTTGTTGACATGAGTACTATTCTTATATTGCATGAAAAAGCTAGCTGTTGTCGTAGTTATCATATTGATTAATCAACTCTAACATATTCATAATTGTCCACATAAGCCTCAACTTTACAATTATTTTAGTTTCTTTTGCAGATGTCACCAACAAAGGTACCTGAGAATAAATGTCAAAAGCATATTTTTTTGATTTTTCAAGTCACATGCTTTGACTTCAGGACTGCATCATAAGTATATTTTTATTTCAAGGTTGAAAAAACAGAAACCACCTAGTTTTTTTTCTTTTCTAATTTTTGCTTATCATTTGAATTTATTTGTCTACAACTGCTTGTAGGACCTGAAGGCCAAATCTAGTGCAACATTTCACATAGGCCTAACATAAGTATCATATATATTGCGACAGAGAAGAGGAGCTTTGAAGTTAATCGTGTCCTATTTGGTATGGAAACTTCCACAGAAATAGTATGGATGTAAAGGCATGATTGCTTCCTGTTTTTCTACCACAATAAACATGAAAAGTATCAATCTCATTAATCTCATTATGAACTGCTCCAAAAGCCTCAAACCCAGAAGCCTACGGCCAGGTACTAGGGAAAAGAGCTGCTCCATCAGATATTTTGAGAATGTATATATTTAATTTAAAAGGAAGGAATGAATAGGATGTACTACTATAATGTACCATCTAGCAATTGAAAACATTTACAGCAGCATCCCTGAAGTAGAGAAATAAGGGAAAGACAATAACAATGGCCAAGAAGAAGGAGAAAACTAGAAAGAAGATAAAGAAGAACTTTAAGAAGTAGTTCTAGAAGATGAAGAAGAACAAATAAAAAGTCACATACCTGGAGTTTCTCAGAGTTCCAATACCTAAGGAGTTCCTTAAACTGAGAAACTGGAACATCTTCAGGGATATGTTCCATTCGAGTTTCATCACTTCTATAGGGGTCAAAGTGATCTTTTTTCAATCTACTCTTATGCTTTCTCTAGGCAGCTTGAACTGATTCCAAAGTATATTTTTTTGCAGCTTCAGGAATATCATATTTATCCTACAATTGGTGTCATATCTGTTAGTGCAGAAAATATGAAAGATTTTCAATCAAAAATTAAAACTTAAGAAGTTCAGACCTTGGTATATTCCCATATATCCTCTTTTGTGTCCATCTTCCTCCAATCCAAAATATCAAGAGGACATAGAGTCGCATTCCTTGCCAATGTGCCGAGGAAGCTTCCAAACTCTATCACAACTGCGTCACTAGGACCGACGGGTTGATTTAAGTTGTTAAGTAAAATTAATTTACGCTCATGTCGTCCATGTACACTCATCTTTGTTTTTCCTCTTTTTCTTGTTTGATTAGAAGGGCCTTCAACTATTCAAACCAAACAAAACCACCAAATCACTATTGTTGGTACATTTTTTATGACTGAAATAGGATATAAATATTTTTAGATAAAGACTATAGGTTCTTACCTTGTTCTTCACATTGTTCATCTTCAATAGGAGTTGTAGAATCCAACTGAACTTGTTCCTCTATTACTTGTGTTGTAGGAGTGGTTGATCTTGTTTGTACATGGGCTGCTACTTCTGAATATTGTGGCACTATCAGATTCTCTTCGATCATATTCAAACGCTCTTTGTTTGATTGTCTAGCAGGAGCAACATATTTTGCAGAAGTGGTTGATCTAGTTTGTGCATGGGCTACTGCTCTTGGCAGATTCTCTGCAATAATATTAGGCCGCTCTTTGTTTGATTGTCTAGCGGGAACAACATATTTTTGGCTAAACGAAGTCCTTATTTGGTTTGCCAAAGATGCCATTGTTCTAGGTTTTGTGTATGTTGCGCTTGTCTTTCTTTTGGGCTTTAAAGGTCTTTCTTGACTCATATCTATCAAATCTAATGAAGAATACAAATAAAAATAGCTTTATTAGGTTTTATATAAATGACAATAGTAGAATTCCAAATAGTAGAATTTCAAATAAAGTACAGCTTCGTATGATAAGTTAAGGATATGCATATGATAGTTTCAGAGTAAACTATGACAATGCACTGCATATGATAGAAGAAAAAATAACAACAGCAATAGGCAGAATATATGTAGCAACAACAAAGTGAAAGATGAACAAAAGAAGCACCATAACTATTATCTTGCCTTAAGTCTCATTTCTTGTCTTAAGTCTTATCTGTTCAAGTTCAATTCAGCTTGCTTCTTCCTCAATCATCAGCTTCCATCCAATCCCAATCCGTATCATCTAAATCATCCTCCTCTTCTGATGTTTCCACAACTGTATCTTGTGAATTTTGTGCATCAGTTGGCATATCAATAACATCAAGAGGTACATCTTCTCTCGACCATCTAAAATCAATATCGGCTAATCTAGTTGATGGACCTGCTTCATCATTAGGCTCACTCCAAAATGTCTCCCCAACATTAGGAATATTCTCTTCCTCCAAATCATACAAATCAACAGGGACTTTATTTCTTGCATAATAAACATCTTTCTCAATTGGATCCTCCACATAAAAAACTTGATGTACTTGAGATGCCAACACAAAAGAGTCATCAGTACTACATAATCGGTTAAAGTATACCCGAGTTAATCCATATTCATCTACTTCATTACGAAACCAATCACATCTAAATAGTACAACACTAAAGCGGCCCCAATAATCAATATCAATGATATCCTGAATAGCTCCATAGTAGATAACCTCTCCATCAATGGGATTTGGGTCCCTAGCACTAGCAAAACTATCAGTTGTTGCTGACAAAGTCACTCCACTATTTTGAGTCTTCAACGGGGCATCCCGCATCATTGTATGAAACAAGTAGCCGTTGATAACATATCCAGTATATCGTTTGGCCAATGTATTAGGTCCTTTAGCTAGCCATCACAAATGATTGGGCACGTCAATGCTTTTTACTTTCTCTTTAAACCAGTCGGCAAAATTTCGACTATGATTTCTTGCTCTTACCCATGCATTTGGTCTAGTACGATTATCAATTAAATTTTTATGTTCACTGCAAGCCATATGTTTCAAATTTAATCATTAGACCATATCAATTAAATTTAAAAATAAAAAAAATAAAGCTTATAATACAAGTGATGATAATATATTTTATCTTACATGATAAACGCCTCCACTTGTTCATCTTCAGTATTGAAGAGAGCATACCTATGAGCCTCAGAACATAACTGTAAATCCATGGGGAAAATCTTTCCTTTTCTCTTTTTCTTACTTCCAATTGGATGGCCAATTTTAGGAAATATAGGTGACAATTTTGCTCCTTTAATGTCCCCATCATCCTCAGTTTGGTACCTACTGAATCTTGTTTTCACCCCATCATGTAGGTATCTCAAACAAAAGGTCAAGCACTCTTCGGCCAAAAACCCTTCTGCAATTGATGCTTCTGGATGAGCTCGATTATGAACAAATGCCTTATACTTGCACAAGGTTCTTTCAGTGGAATACATCCAACGACAATAAGTTGGACCCCCAAGCTTAATTTTATTTACTAAATGAACAGGAAAATGAGGCATTATATCAAAATAGGCTGGAGTGAAGATCATTTCAAGCTCACATGTAATATCATTGATTTCAGTCTGCAATCTATCAAGATCCTCTCGCCTTACAACCTTAGCACATATGGCTCTAAAGAAGTTTCCCAACCTAATCAATGCCAAAGAAACATTCTTGGGTAGTGTTTTTCTAACAGCAACTTGGAGCAAGTAATGCATTATAAAATGAGCATCATGACTCTTGTACCCCGATATTTTCATATCTTTCTCATGCACACAATGTGATATATTCGAGGCACAACCTTTTGGCAATTTGACATTTTTAAAGACGGTGCAAAATCGCCTCTTCTCTTCTGGATTCATGTAGAAACAAGCTTTAGCCAAAGAAATTGTTCCACTTACAATATCTTGTATTGGTTGAAGCTCTTTTCGTATTCCCATTTCTTGCAAATCGTAACGAGAATTTACATGATCTTTTGACTTTCCATCGATCTCCAATAATGTCCCAAGAATACTATCACATATATTTTTCTCAATGTGCATCGGATCAAGATTGTGCCTCAATTTGTTAGTTTCCCAGTATGGTAGTTCAAAGAAGATGGATCTTTTCTTCCATGGACACTTGTTATCCCGATACCTTTTCTTTTGGCCCTTTCCAAAGACATTCTTGAATTCACGCAACTCTTCGAGGACTTCTATACCCGACAAAGGAGTAGGTGCATGTCTATGATCCTCCTTACCATCAAATGATTTCTTATCTCTTCAAAATGGATATTCAGGAGGTAAAAATGCCCGATGACCCATGTAGTACATCTTACGACTATGCTTGAGATATTGAGAACATGTG